CCTCACACGCACGCTCGCTCGTTTTCTACGCTCGTATGACGTCACACAGTGCCGACAGCCTCGTTTTAGGCCATCTCGTATGATTCCCTACTCAAAGCGCCGACGCTGCGATGGTGGATCCAAGATTTTGCATTGACTAAAAATATTGCTCGAAAGGTTTAAAACAGCAGACGGGGTTATTCCGTCGTAATTATGTGAAGGGCACAAGGATGAGAAAAGTGGTTGGTTTTGTCTTGTTTCGAACAAGAGAGAGCTTTCTCCTAAGCTGAATGGGTGGGGGGAGGGAGAACGTGCAGGCGGTATTCACCCTGGATTCGCCATTGTCATGTACATTAGAATGTCCGTACGCTACCTACTACTAAGTTTAGAACTCGTCTGTTTCTAAGCTTGATGCAAACAGTAATTCAACTATAACATTCCATTGATTTTCTAATCCGGAATGAAACAACGTTAATATCCTCCTTACATGCATGAATAGTCTACAAATGCATGGACATACAAAAACAGTTCCTATTCCTAAGCCAGGAAAATCCCTATGAAATTGATTCTACAAATGAACAAATACGTGGCATAGCCCACAAATGAATATACAAAGCATTGTAATATTTGCCAGTTGAGCGTCGGCGATCTCAACCCTAGGTACCTACGAATATGGCTATTAAAACGCAGAATTTTAATTTCAACCGCAAAAAGAAAATGTGTGCATAAGTGGTTAAACACTCGCACGCGCACGCATGTGTGTGCGTTAACCAAGCACAGGAATCTAATATTATTGGTAAACTAATTAAAATGCCAATAGACGGTGACGTCATCATACCTTAATACTCACCCAGCCTGGCCCGGTTGAACCAAAATCTTCTACTTTAAAGGTAAATACTGAAGACGCCGCCCCTATATCCTAAGATGCAATGTGCACGTTTGTCGGCAGACAGATTAGCATGCTAGTCAATAACAGGTGTCGACGCTTTCCTCGATTGATCTCTGCACTACACCCCAACTACTTATAAAGCCTACTTAGTATCGACAATAATTCTCTACGGTAAAACAAATGTTTTGATTTCCGGGTACCAAAAAAATCAATAGAAAACCAAAGTGGCAAACATTAATGGCAGATTCCTAGATTATTTGGAGCTAATCATGATGGCAATAATGGCGCCGAAAAACAGAGCCGATTATTTGAACTAAGTATAGTCATTTTTACTTGAAATATGATTCCCTTGCGATGTTTTATCTGAAAACTTCATAAAGTCTCAAATAACATTACGTAACGTCACTGATGTAAAGTCTATCACGAGAAGTCAATTATTTAAAAATTTAACACTTTATGCCAAACTTTCATCGAATAAAGGGAGAACATGCGGGTCGGTGGATCAGAAGAAAATGTCTGTATATGTCTATTTTATCATATAACAAAGATTTTCCTGCATTTTATTGATTTTTTTTCAAGTTTATTTATCGTGCAGGTGATTAGCCTCGAAATATCTCTTTACGCGCATATAATCCGTATATATATATATAGCAATCATGTTGTAAATATTTAACTGTGATTAGCCAACGGAAGAGGAAATAATTCTAAACTCAATAATTCAGATAATAAAAAACAATCTGTTCCTTGTGAAGCGCTGTTGGAATCGCGATCACAAGAATCATCCATCTAAAGCTAAATGTGATAGTTGAGAAACCTAGTACGCTCACTGACACAATCAAGGAGGGATGCCCGCAAAACGCATCACATGTTCACATTTCATTTCTTTCTTTGTACTGTCAGTACCGTGGGTTTACAACAAATGGAAACAACTGTCTCTCGCATGGTTGGTCGTTGAAATCCTTATTCACAGTTTCCTAGTTAAAGCTGTTTAATTCACTAAATCACCTGCTAACATGGTTTGCCTTTGTGCTTAACAAAAAAACTTCTTTTTACTAGTACTTCATACATGTACATGTTCATCAAGCCCACTCACCGATTTTTAGGTTTTCCTCAAAATTAAAAGCCAATCACAACATTATCATTTTTCATTCATAAAGTAAGTACACTTAGCAGTGCAGGTTATCCCTTACAAATGAAGTGTTCAGGTTCAACCAGCTGATACAGTGTAAGTGAATGATCTACGGACTCATGGAGTCAACACTGGTATAATACCATCATCCAAATCTCATAAACACCCTTTATATATATATATATATATATATATATATATATATATATATATATATATATATATATATATATATATATATATATATATATATATTTTTTTAATTGTACAAAGGTGTCATTTAAAAACGTCTTCCATAGTATGTACAGTTTCAATGTTTTCAAAGGCATTATGTTACAACTTGACTCAAGGCTACTTACACTACAAACTCAACCAGACATGTCTGTGGTACAGTTTAGAATTCATCATGTATTTTTGATCTACATTAGAGTTACACAGCAATCAGGGGATTGATTCTTCACTGTGGGTTAACAGCATGTGGTCCAGCAATAAATATCTGACTGACTGCATTCAAGGTCTGTAGCCAAGGTCGGGACTGCTTACTCCACACAATGACGTATGTAATATGCATTTTGGATGTCAATTTCCTTCTTTTTCATGTGATATTTTGTTTATCAATAAATTGATAAATAACATTTGAGACCTTCAATGAAAACAACCTTGAAGACAAGAATGAACAATTACAAAGTGTCTTTGGGGTGTTTTTAATGTGTAAATGTATCACTGAATTCTTTTCTTTTTTGAAACAGAAGTTCAATTGCCCTCTTCCTCTTCCTCGCCTTCTTCCTCCTGTCCGCTATCTACTCCATTTTCTTCTTCCTCCTCATCCTCCTCATCACCATCTAGTTCCACAATATCATCATCATCACCCGCATTTTCAGTTTTTTCTTTGTCCTCATCTGCTGCTTCTGAGGACGCATTCAATTCTTTTTCTTTCTTTCGCTTTTCTGCAGCATCTTTTTTATTTTTCTGTTCTTTCCTGAATGCTAAATTTAAAAAAGGAAAATGTTCAATATTGGACAAAATGAATACCTTAACGTTAAGATATCTTAACACAAAGCTGGTTGATAAAAAAGAAAAGGATAATATTGTGCAGGACAAGGCAATTGTTTTTACCTAATTAAGTACTTTCTTCTGTGTTTGACATTATTTATGGTATTATTTATTGTGTATTTCATAAACAAATTCTACTTTTACAAATGGATACTTTGGAGATCAAGATATTGCACCTTCTAGACTTTGTTGTAAAGACTCTGTGAAGCGCTCAAACTCCATGTCTGACATTGCTGATATCACGTCTTGTCCTGTCAGCGTCTTCCGCTTGGCTTTCATGGCAAAATTATTTGCACTTATGAAAATAAGAGAGAGCATATCTATTTATTACAAAAATATAAAATTTCTCCCTTAAATTACATATAATAATAATAATACAGTAAAGAAATAATAAAAATGTATTAATGAATGCTCCAGAAAACAACCCAGAAATAAATATGAAGGTCAAATAGAGAGATTTTTAAATAAGTAACATTTTCAAAAAAGCAATCGTGCAAATAATTTGCTTAATATGAAAACATAATGTTATAAGTTTCATAATTTTTCTTTACACATAATGAAAGCTATCAAAAATCTTAAAAATGCTAAGCAAATTTACGTAAAATGGAGATAAAATAAATATCAAGAAAACCATAATACCATGAGGTGGTATACAGCACAAAAACACTGGCAGCCTTGGATATTGCCAATCTGGCATCTTTGGAAATATTCACTCCTTCTGGAAGCTGGAAAAGAACATACACCATACTGAAACATGTCCACCATACAAAAATTGAGCATTACAAGAATAAAAACTCATCCAGAGATGATTCCTTTTCTCATCAAAATAAAATATCAACTTCAAGTCTTATATCCACATGGAAAAGCTATGTTTGTGAGTTAATTATCTATTCGAAAACCATTACGTGTAATATTTACGTACTGCATCTTTGATAATTCTCGTCACCACGGCATTGGGGAGATTCAAGTCTTCTGGTCTTTCTGCCATTTTCTTCATTATTTAAAGAAAAAATTACAGCAATTTACATAATGAAACACGTAAGCTAATGAAATATCATTTTCCTGAAGTATTCACCAATGACAATAACAAGCAATGCAATAATGACGTTATATCATCAAATTTGTCAACCTAGGAGTTGGTAATTTTGTCGCATTGTCACAGGTCAGATACATACATGTACACATGACTGAAGTGAAGGTGGTAAACAAAGTTACAAACAAAGATAGTGGAAGGGATCCTAGTATTTTTATCTGTTTAGATTAGACGTCCTACAAAACAATGTCTGTCCATTTGCCAGGTCAATATCATTGGTACATTTGTGCATTCGAACTCAAAAGATAAAAAATTAACATAAATAAAAGCTCACGTTGCTTACCGCTTGTCCTAAACGGAAGTTAAGCGTATTTGGCGCGAGGCATGCGCATATTTAGTTCCGGTGTTTGGCGCAAGCGCAATGTCAGTTAGTGAATCGGCTTGGTGTAGTGCGGAAGAAATTTCGACAAATATTTAGGGTGGACTATTCACTTGGGTGAGTGGAAGTTCGGTCGTTTGACTCTGAAAATGCATTTAACAGTTCTCTGACTATTGAGGAACACCAATATTGAAGTTTTTAAGTTGAAAGAAATGCGGTTTAAACTGTGTGTCGAAAATTCAGTAGTCCTTTTTCTCCGAAGTGCTTGGCAGCTGGGAGGAACAGTAAACGTAGATATACTACGTGAAAGATTTTATCGGCTCAAACTCATATTTCATTCTGAGTATGCGAAAAGAACTAGTGGCTCTTTTACGTCTTTTATATACCATCATCTGTCAATGTATGAATTTGTAATAAGATCCTACTTAAATAAAATGACTATTACTATCATGTCCAAGAATCGAGTCAATATCGAAAAGATTGCATGATTGTCATCAAAATAAATAGATATGATTCCATTCCCCTTCTCTTCTTCAGCCGACAAAATGAGCAGCTCGGAGGAGGTGTCATGGATCTCTTGGTTTTGTGGACTTAGAGGCAATGAATTCTTCTGTGAGGTAAATTATGCTCCCTACAGTAAAGTTCAGTCAAGTTTACTGTCCTTACATTTTAAAAGGATTTTTGAACTAGGATTTACAGTGGTTAAATTAAACCGATATTCGTTATTGTTTGAACCAGCTTCTTTAAATAAATAAATGAATTGTATGGTTTTGATTTCAGGTTGATGAGGATTATATTCAAGACAAATTTAACTTGACAGGGCTGAATGAACAGGTGCCCCACTATAGACAGGCTCTGGACATGATCCTGGACCTAGAGCCAGGTGAGAATTAGCTCAAAATTTTTATATATTTTGCTCCCCTTTTTCCCTGCCTCCCTTGTATAAAAAGTTTGTTTGTTTTTGCTATAGAATCATATTTAGAAAAGGTAAAATGTCAATATTTAATATTGTCAATATATGAAAATCTTGCAAAAATCATGATTTAATTGGACATTTTAGTGCTTTTGGCTATTATTTATAGAAAGAAAGTTGTAGTTATATCTCGTATTAAATTTGTCAAATTTATTTTCAGATGATGAATTAGAAGACAATCCAGGTACTAGTGATCTCATAGAGCAAGCTGCAGAGATGTTGTACGGACTCATACATGCCAGATATATCATGACAAATAGAGGAATAGCACAAATGGTGAGGAACTGTGCTTTCTAGTAATATAATGACTAATCAAAGCATAGCAAAAAGGGGTTAATGTTTTATGTAGCATTAGAAGTTAAAGGGATAATAACTCTTCGTATGAGATCTATATTTCACAATAAAAACCTTGTGAATAACTCACAGAAATATAATATATTCTGTTTTACCACAAAAACAGCAGTTATAGCTATTATTCTGATATCTGAGCTTGTCTTTAGACCACGTGACCTCCATTGAAGGCTATACTCTGTTAAAATCTCTTAAGAGATTTTAACAAAAAACCAAACTTTTTAGAAAAAAACCAGGGACTAACTTTGAATGTAAAAATGGATTCATTAACCATTGGTAAGTATGGGAAAATTGTTGTTTACTCCAGGAAAATTCATTTTTTGGCCGAAACGAAGAGTTATTATCCCTTTAATAGGTCACTTCAGGATTGTAGGAGTCTTTTGTTTGTGTGTTAGAGATGATTACGAAATTGGTTGTGTGTGATAAAAGATATTTTTGTGTGAAGATAAGCACTTGGAGGAAATTCACCAATTTTATTCCGTTCTCTTTACAATCATATACATCTGTGGTGCAAGCGAATTCATTGAGGTACCGATTTTTATGGCACAGTATGTTCAAATGGCAAAATATCCTTGTTTCAGATTGAGAAATGGCAGCAGGGAGACTTTGGCTACTGTCCCAGGGTGTATTGTGAAAATCAACCCATGTTACCAATAGGTAGGGCAAATAAAAAACAATTTGTTTTTGTTTTATTTCTTTTATTTAATTAAATAATTATAATTTTTTTTTGTGTGTGTGGGGGATGGGGGTGGGTGTTGTCAAACCAACTACATGCTAAATTGACCCAATAGCACTTTTATGATCAATCATACAACTGTATGTGACATAAACACAGGCCTTGGGTCAAGCGCCAGAAATTCCAAAATTGAAGCTGGAACTGTTACATTTATTCAGTAACTTGTCACCATTTCTGCTTTGGTAGATTCTTAGATACTGGCATCTTGAAGGGCTTGTAGACTTAGATTTTCTCTCTCTCTCACACACACACACACACACACACTTTCATTATGAAGGCATAATTAGATTATAAGGATGCTATAAACCTTTAAACAATGACCCCCCTGTTTCTCTGTAGAGTTTTTAAATCAACTCTGGTTAAGTTGATAGGACTGGCAAAAATATGTGAATTGTTATAATGTGCCCTTTGTTTTTATACAGGTAAATTTTGTCTAAATATTTTTAAAATCACTAGAATCTGGAATTGTGGAACAGAAGTTATAATGAAAATATCTACGGAGTGAGTCTTCATATTTTAAGTCACTTGTAGAAGGTTACAGTGGCTTGTAAATACTTGTCAGTTCATTTCTGTACTTAATAAGATGAAATTTCTCCCTCAGGTTTATCAGATGTTCCAGGTGAGGCTATGGTAAAACTATACTGTCCAAAATGCCAAGATGTCTACACACCGAAGTCATCGCGGCACCATCACACCGATGGTGCCTACTTTGGTACGGGGTTCCCACACATGTTATTCATGGTGCACCCAGAATACAGGCCGAAGAGACCAGCCAACCAATTTGTACCCAGGTATGTTTTTTTTTTTTTTTTCAATTTTCTTATGTGGTTTTCAAGTTTGCTGAGATTGATACTTTATCGCTATGCCAGAATCAAGCTTGTGTTTTTGAAATGTGGGGTATGCGCTTAGTTAAAGACAGCTTTATATTTCATTTGTCCAAAAAAGGACACTTTGAACTATCACATAATTTAGAGGGAAGGTAGGTCTTCATCTATGATTTGGCTTTTTTGAATGCTAATTATTTTAGAATACAAATAATACCAGGACTGTCTTTTAAGTTGGTAGAACTGAAACTTGTGTTAGATGCTAAAAACAAAATCTTGTTTGATATCAGAAATCCCCTGGCATTATCCCTTATTTGCTTTTTCATTTATTATTTTGTATTTGAAATTGAGGCTTTAGATTGCGTAGTGCATTTACACCATGCCCTGTTATATTAAATTTTCCATTGCCAGATTAAAGAATTTTGTTTTGAAATTGTAAATTACTAGCATGATTGAACTGCGTGTAAAATAACAGTATAAGATAAAGACAATTCAAATAGATAATTTATGCACAGTTATCATTTTCCCTCCTAAGACAAAAAAGTGGATTATTATATTTCTCTGAAGAATGTCTCAGTCTTTAGCTGAAATTTTAAGGCAGTTCTCAAGGCAAGAGCAATATTCCTTCTCCATTTTTTCTTGCAAATTGTACTTTAATTTTTCCTTGTCATTTATGATATTAGTTTTATATTATTTTTTTCTGGAATATTTCTGGTCAAACAGATCCTTCTTCCACCTCTTCCCTTCCCCCCCCCCCCCCCCCCCCCCTGAAAAAAAAAAAAGGAAAAAAAACTTAGAAGAAATTGATTTAGAAAGAAAAACAATTTAATACTCTCCAGATCTGAGAGTTTCAAGTCACCACTTGAGAACACGGATCAATGTTGTACTGCACTTAAGTCGTAATCTCTCCAATATGTCATATACAGCTCGTTAATTCCTGGAACTTGGCAATAAAAGACGAACCCATAGCTGGCAGGGAGCAGGTCTTCTTTTCACAAAACTGGGTGATAGCTTCTCATTGATCACTCTTGCTGTCTTGATTGATTTTAATGTTAGCATTAATTGTATGCTTTAAAAGTATTTCCAACAACACCCATGGTCTAAGCTATCTGACCTCATGGACAAACTGTGTTCGACCATTATTTAGAAGACAATTTATTTAGAAATTCTCTCAGCTTGAGGTCATACAATTTTATGATCCTGCCAGATGTAATATTGAACTGTCTGCAAATTTCCAAGCCTGTATTTGCTGGATTGATCGTGTGAAATAATCTTTGATTACCTCCCTGTCCAAAAATAGAAAGTAAAATGAAAATTAGTTTATGAAGTTAAGCAGAATATTGTAAGCTCCTAATACACTCCCCCCAGGGTGACCCCCCACCCCCACCCCCACCCCCACTTTATCAATCTGTATATTTTATCTACAGTCTGTTTGACCAGAATATTGATTGTAATGGGTCCTGTCTCACAAAAGAATTTAAGTTAAAGTTGTTTGAAGCTAAGCCTGCTTAGAATTTGTAGCCAACTAAACAACATTTCACTAAAAATCTTAAAAGATGTTTACTTTATTTTTTTTAAAGTTTACTCACACTGGTGACTAGAGCCTATGAAGGGATGATAGCTGAATATTGTGTGGACAAAATGTTTATGAAATGCTTGAAGACAGTGTGAAGTTGGGGTTCTCCAGTTGGCTATCCAAGTTAAGCAGTCTTAGAAAATCCAAAAGCCTAAGTTCTTTATTGAGACAAGTTTAGTTCCACAAAAGGAGTTTAGACAGACAGTTGGTCTAAACTGGGTGATTGAATATTTTAGTCTACTTCCATTTAGGAGAAATTCATACTAGTCCACTGAAGAAGAAACTTCAGATTTGAAACCCATTTAGAACTATTTAAAAAAACTAGTGGGTGCAATATCACATATGAGTGGACTATGACTGATTGATCTCAAATAAAAGTAGACGTTAATTTTGGTCTTAAAGTTTAGAACAATTTTTAGTCTGTAGTTCTTTTGTAGAACTGCCCTATCATCATCTTGGTCTTTTTTATAATATTTTTGTATGTGCATGGTATCGGTGAAGGGCTCTCCTTATCCAGCTGACTGAATAGTAGTGGTCTTTTATTTTAGAAACCCTCTTCTATATGGACATTGAAATACCATACAGCTGTTTCTGACCATTAAAATCCACTAGCACTTGAAACCAACAATATATCCAAAGCATCTTCAAAATAAATCGCCCTGGAAATGTGTCGGGTTTAACTCCAAAATTTAAATTTAAATAATTTGGTATGAAATGAAACTTTTTTGAAAGACCTAACTTTGTACTGTATTTATGTTATGGACATGAACATCTATATTTTAAATTATATTTTCCTTTCTTTGCTGCTTGGAAAGTGAAGTTTTTTATAGTTTATCAAAATTGATTAACAGAATTTGGCTTGAGGACTGATTGAAATTATACTGCTGAGTAAAGAAGCATGTGTTGCTTCAAATGGATTTCTTTAAAAAATATCTTGTATACATTTGGCTTGAGTATTTGGAGGAAAGATGATACTGCGGCTGTTGTTTTTTGAAGTGCTCTTCCAGAAATTGTCATGAGGGGGATGGTTGGTTGGCACACACAAAAAAAAAAAAAAAGAAAGAAAGAAAAAAGAAAAATTGTCAGGAAAAATATACTCATGCAAGTTTTTAAGTCATCCATGTGAAAGCCCTAATGCAAAGCTGAAATCTTACAAACTCACAGGTTGGCTTCTCCAATACTGTAGAAATGTAAAGGGCATGTTTTAGCCACTGAAAAAATGATAAAGTTTACAAGGGAAAGGGAACTGCTAGACAGTTTCAGTATTGCCAGCCAGCCACCAGTTTCCCCTCCATGTGTGTAAAAGACTGTTTTTGGATCGGCAAGTGATTGGTGTTCTTCCTATATCATTGTAGGCTGTATGGGTTCAAGATCCATCCCCTGGCTTATCAGCTTCAGTATCAGGCAGCAGTTAACTTCAAACTACCCATGCGGGGAATGTACAACAACGGCAAACGCTAACCACCACCACCACCACCACCACCACCCATGTCAATGTATCTCCTAATTTCTACTACTACAACTACAACTAGCATCCTATGGGAAGTACTTACTACTACTACTACTATTACTACTGCAACTACTACTACTANGCAACACTGCCCAATGCTAAATGTGCTTAATTAAAGCCTCAGTTGAGGATTCCAAGGACAGTGAGGGGCCTTTTCACATCGAGCTCTCTAACTTTGCGTTTCATCTTCAGAAATCTGTTTTGAGAGGTGTTGCTATGTAATAATGCTACAAGGTAATTCACTTGCTTCTTGTTGTTTGGGTTTGAAAAATTCTACCTGAGGCATATGTTTTTTAATATAACAAAGTGTAAATATGCAGGAAAATAATCAAAAGGTCAGTGGAAAGAAATTAGCTGCTGTTTGTTTATTGGCAGGGTAGAGAAGGGAAGTTTTGTCCTGGTGATTTTTTTTTTTTTTTTTTTTTTGCATGATAGCTGGTCTATTATGCTGCTGATCTTTCATAATAGAAATCTGATGAGGGAACGCTTAAATAGGGCACTTGATGTGAAAAGGCATTAACATACCATAAGGGTTTGGAAACAAGAAATCTTGTAAAAACACTGTGCACCATATTACTAGTAAACAAGGTATTTTATGGTTCAGCAGGATAAATTTGAACCTTTTCAGTATTTTGAATATAAAAAAACAGCTGATATTACCAATTATGTCATTTGATTCTCATTTGTATTAATTTTTATTTTATTATTTTATCTAAGTTACACATAATCTATTTATTCAGTTTTTAAATCAGAATGAAAAAGAGGTATTATACTTCAAAATGCAGCTTGTGTCACCTAATTTATGAATTAATCCATTGTTTTATTATTTAAATACAATGTCATTGTAATTTTTTGACATTAAGTCACTCAAAAGATGACACGTTTTTTTTTTTTTTTTTTTTTTTTTAATTTTCTGCCAAACATTTAGTTTATTTCTTACTTCATCTCCAAATAGTTAAGGTAATTTTGATAACAAGTTTCCTAATATTTCTTATGTTTTGATTCCTTTGTTGATAAATACTTGGGTTTACTGCTTTGAACATTTCATATATAAGAGCCAAATCAAAGGAAAACAATTAGAATTGTGAAGAGATTAAAAGGCTGTGAATGAAATATTTACATCTATGTACATTTTGTTTTGTGTCATTAAATGTATCCCATCTGGAAATTAATCATTTTCTATTAATTTAATAAAATTATTGTCAAGATCTCTAATTTTGCCAGCAAATGAATTATACTAAGTTATATATATATTTTATCAGATAAAACGTGCTATCACCCTTTTTTCATAAGAGTTTTTTACTTTATTTTTAAAATGTCATTCATTTAAAAAAATGAAGCAACAGTTTTATAACTTGATTATGTAAGTTTACTCTTTTATAGGCAGATCTCTGAAATTATTGAAAAATTTGTTACTGATAAGGTAATACTTGTTGCAGGTAAATGTTTTTTTTAATGTAGCATACTGAATAAAGATGGGCCTTTTAGATTGCTGTCAAAAAATTTGGGCTCTACAATATTCAGACCATGAATAATGTAAAAGGTCTTCATAAAGTAGATGTTGTATTGGGTTGAGGTTTGCCTTAAATAATGGTAAGTTTATACACGTATAATGTTGTTCAAATTAAAGCATTTAAGTCCTGGAGAAAGAAAGTAGAATTTTGACCCTTTGTTGTGAAAGTTAGTTTTATTGGTTATATCTTTTTAATTTTATTTTATTAAAATACATTGTTTATGGCTATGTCGTCAAAGGGAAGAAGAAACATGATATATGGTAGTTAGTTTTGGTCCATCCAGTATTAGATATATGTATTTAAGAAACTTTTCATATTATATGGCATTCCACTTTGGTAACATAATCACATTTGTGTCTTGAATTCAACAATAAAGTGTATAAAGTAATAGTGTGTTGAGAATTAAAGTTAAGATGATTACTGATTACTCAGTCCACACATCCTAAGAAACTGTTTCTAATGTACTAGTATAATCACCAGGTTCTCTGTGTTCTACTAAATGCCAGGAGGCAGCTTTTTAGTCAGTAAATGGATTGCAGTCAGCGAGAATCCCTGACATAACTCGTTCTGAAGTGTCCTCAAGAAAATGGAGATGCTTAAAAAAAAGACATGCCCTATTCATTCTAGGAGAAAATTTTTGTTATCTTGATTTAGCTTAATTTTGTTTTTGACTTAGAGGAAATTGAAAGAGAAAAGACAAAGAAAAAGCCAGTAATGTGGCAGATCTTTTGCCCTCAAGGCTGTCTGTGACATGATATTATGCAAGAGAGAGGAAAATATTTTAAATTTCTGGGTTTTGGGCAGCTTTAAGAATCTCGCTTGTTGAAAACACGTCAGTAACGATCTGACAAAGGGGACTTCCTTTTGTATAGAATTTGACTTCGTATAATTGAAAATAAGGTACGGTAATTACATAATTCGGACATCAGGATTTTTTAAATGCCCCCCCCCCCCCCCCAAATGTTTTGTTACACCTTATAATGCAGATTCAAAAGCTTTAAAAAGTTATTTGGCTTCATATTAGAAAACGCATTGTTTGTCTGAAAATGATAAATTTTGAAGATTTAGGACTTTATATAAAGTGGGAGCATTTGGAAATTTTACATCCAAGTAATTACCACATATAGCAGTAAAATACTAAGGTTGATGTTTAACTGTTTTTAAACTAATCTGACTTAATCTGCCACGGATATGGGTTTTGTTTTATAGATAATAAAATTAACATTGAGTAGGTCTTTAGTACTACATGAACTGGCGTGTTGAATAAAGATTTTAATCTCAAAAGACAAAATGAATTGGACACTAAGTTTGAAAAATCAGATAAGGAAGTGGTGTCGGAAGGATCTGCAATAACATGTCAGTGTCCTTTATGATATAGCTGTAACATGATTATGTGTGACATGTATTACTCTATGACTCTAAGTAATAAGTAAACATTAAACTTTGTGAACTGTTTTTTAGTTGTTGTTCTTTTGATTACCATAATGGTGAGTGACAGGCAAAATTGACGATGTAAAAATTGACCCCTTGGAAAGATTGATGTAAAAATATTAATTCAAAAACTATGATTGTGGATTTAAAAATTTATTGTTAATTTTTGGGTATCAGTCTAAATTATCATGAAATACAGAAATTAACTAGGGTTTAACTTTAATGCCACTGTTATTTTGTAATTTAAATTTCCTCCACATTAACATCAGTAGCAACTTGCCATATCTGCTTTGGTGTGGTTTTGCAATTTTATCAAAGTCATTTTTTGAGGATTTTTCTTTTTCTTTGTGAAAGTGGCTGGATTTTGTAGGAAAAAAAAAAACGATTACAAGTACAGGGAATTCATGATAGGGAGGGCGTTTTCCTCCTTTTTTATGCTCATCACTTTAATATTTCTGAAATTTAAAAAGGTGAATGGTCAAAACTATTGAATGTGGTTGTATACATGTTTTCTTGCATGCCTTTTGCCTGTCAGAAGATAAATTCTTCAGCTGTGATATGTACTAAGAATAAAGCAGTGATTCTGCCTCAATCAACTAATGCTGGAATTTTTGTTTACCTCCAATATTTTGATGTCTGTCTAGAGCATCTTCACCAGGGAATCAGCAAAACAATTTCAGCATTGGTTGTTGATTGAAGAAAAATCACTACTTAATTCTCTTGGCAGTGAGTTTTTTAATTCTCTTGGCAGTGAGTTTTGATATATATTGACATCAAGCACTCTAATCTGTCTCTATTATTTAAAAGTGTGATATTAAATGGTGTTTAAAAGTTGGTATGCAGAGTTTTCTTTTAAGTGGCTGTTTCTAATCGCATCTTGTCTTTTCTTTTTGCAGACTGTATGGCTTCAAGGTGCACCCCCTGGCCTACGAGTTGCAGTATGCGGCTGCCGCACGGACGCGCTCATCTGGAATGTCGAGACCAAGAACATCTGCCAGGTCGCCAGTCTACAAATAGGGACCCCAATCCAGCCTTTGTATTTGTATGCCTTTTGCTTCTACTACTGCTAGCATGGAGCGGGCAGTCTTTGCCTTGCCCAGCCATAGATTCTTGTAACAAGCTCTCAGCAGTCAGCAAAGGAGTTTTTTTTTTTTGTTGATAAAGAAACTAAAACATTTTCCCATTCAGACCTGTCAACTCTTTATTCTATTTTCAATGACAATTTCAATATTTACTGAGTTGCTCACTCTCCAAAATTGCATTTTTGATATGTTTTATTTCTTAAGCAGCTGCTTGGTGATGTAAACATCTCTAAATATGGCTGTAAGTTGATTAATTTTGCTGAGGCTTTTTACAAGAATTTTCTGCTTGCCTTTTCAAACCCAAAATGCAGGATGTTTGGCGATCTCATATTCACCATTCATATGTAGAAGTCTTAATCAAGGATATGTGTCTTCAGTGGGAATTACCCGAGATAACCCTAAAGTTAGCATAAAATCAAGCAAGATTGAGTGCGATGTGGAGGGGGGGGGTCAGAAATAACGGCAGACTAAGGAGTGCAGTACACCAACAAATAAAAACTGACAATTTTTTTCAACAGATATTTTTCTGTTAGTTTTCCAAGTTCCATTCAATTGCACAACAATGCACAATAGCCTTGTTGCTTTCTAAGAAGACATCCCTGTATGTGGAATTTCACCCTTATCACTAAAAAAAGTTAACCCAACTTAATGTGGAATCTTGCACATTTTCGCATCTCATATGACAACACGATGTGGAGGACCTAGTTTTAGGCTGTCTCGGATGATTTCCATTTCATTGCGCGAAAAGGTGATTTTTTCTCTCCTCAACAATAATATCTGTCAAAGTGGGGGCTAAGGTAGAACTTAGTGTGATAATTTTTTAGGAGTGTCATAAAATACTTTCCTCTCCCCTGGGTCATGCTGTCCTTAGTTGTTTCAGCTATTTTTAGTAGTCACAGTTATGAGTTTCCAACACACGGAAAACTTCAGATGAAGTTCAGTGACAAATAGTAAATTTGTTTTACATCAATTCTTATACATCTTGGTGCTGGTAAACAATATTGATTTGAGCTGGGTATTAGAATAAACATGATTTCTCTATTGAAGATTTCAAAATTAATTCTGAAAGTACTAGTTACATCTGTTGCACTGCTTATTATCCTTATGGGTGAAGGTCCTGGGTGAATGTGAGTCAACAAGTGAAATGGATCCAAAAATTGATTTAACAAAACAATATTGCCTTGAGCTTCAGATGGTTTGGGTCCCTAATAAAATCTTCTTTTGCCTTTCCTCTCTCAGGGAATGGTAGGTTCTCTTTAATAGAACATTGATTGAATAAAACTACTAAGAAGAGGTTTTTTTTTACTAGTAAAACTAGGATTGGCTGAAATTTGACTAGAGTTTTCATGGAGATATCAGGGTGTAAGAGTGGATTCAGGTCAAGTTGATCTGCAGACAAACAAATCCCCGTCCGATCCACCTGAAAGCAATGCCGACTAATCTCCTGATGGTCTCCCAGCCTCCACACATGCCGTTACTGCTGGGGACTAGCAATTAAAACTCGGAGCCAAGATTTAATCCGTTTAATCATGTGTGGAGGCTGGGCAACCATCACGGGATTAAGGCAACTTAATGGGGTCGGCCATATGTAGTGGGTCGGCCGTATTCTGAATGCACTCAAAGAATACCATTTACTTCATCTAAAAATGTTTGTCTTTTATTATAAGATTTGAATTAGTTTTTCATGTTTGAAGTGGTTATTTCATGTACAGTAGATGAAAGGGTGCATCCTTTTGATTTCATTTTCCTTTTCTCTGTGCATTTTAATGCATCTGCTGGTAATTAACAGTTAGATGATTTAGTATTTTTTAAAATTTCCTTTGCATCTTACTGTATATTTGCAGAGAGACTTTACATGGTATGACAGTATGATTGCTTTTTGTTAGGAGAATGTTCTTGTGCTTGCAATGCTTCAAAAATCAATGGTTGCTTAAATATCTTGGATAAGAAGCATGGTTGTTGCCTGAACATTTATACATTTTTCAAATTGTTTAATTTGGTGTTTAGTTAGTATTCAAACGAAGGAAGATTTGAGCAGAAATTTTCCTCCTTTGGGAGGAGATTTCTTTCTTTTTATGCTGAACAGAATAAAATCTCCTGAATCTCCACCCCCCCCCCCCCAAAAAAAAATAAAAATAAAATAAATAAAATAATAAAAATTAAATAAATAAAAGGGAGGTTATGTGAGTGGTAGGGTTTCTCATTTGGTAGCATACTGTTTTCTCATTCCAGGGTAAAAAAAATTACAGATTGAATGAGAGTTATTATGATGTTTTTAGTGAGGCAGATGAAATAAGTCTTAGTGGCATATTGTGACCGGCCAAAGTGAGAGGGGACATGAGAGAAATGTCTGCTCTCCTTAGCTTTCATAATATCTCCATAAAAACATGCATATAATTGCCATGTAAAATCAAACCAGTATTTAACAAATTACTGAAACGTATGCTGTACTGAATTCTTACATACAAATGCTTTCTCTTTTGTACAGGGTGGTCCCTAAAAACGACCCATTTTACTTTCCATCTCAATTTTGATACAATTAAGATGTTTCCATCTTTCTTTTACCAAATTGTGTCATAAGGACGACCATTCTACCCTTGCAAATTCTACAGAAATTGGAAACCTATCAGGCTATTTTTTGGATGTTAAAATGTTTCTTATTGACTGTTGTTGTCATGCAAACTGATGAAGACAGAATGCTTGAAGGAATTGTGCAAACCACACAGCTAATATGGTTCAGTAATATATTATTTGAACACTTTTAATCAGAAGAGCCCCTGTCTACATACGAATGTAACATGATTTTATTGTGGCAAGCTGTAATGCCCAACCTTTTTTCTTGAATTTCTCTTTTTATTCTTTTTCAGTCTACTTGGCTTCCAAAAGATGAAAATTCCAAAATGAACAAAAACCACAACAGTTGGAAAAAGTCGGGGACAAAAAAGGACTTCAGTTTGCAGTTGCTTGCATTCAGGTGGCTTGTTTATAATACACCAAAAAATACAACAGTAACGGAATTTAGGTGTATATCTACAGAATACATATATATGACATGTTAATTTAACTTTCTGCGTGGCTGTGACCATAAAACCAACAAAAGGAACATAAATGGATGGAGTTGCTCTGAATAAGTGACTAACTCTGCTTAAAAATGGTAAAAAATACACGTGAAATGAGACTTTGACTTTGTAATAGAAGATGTAGCTTAAATAAGTTAGAACCAGGACGGTTTTGTGAGCGAACAAATGTCAAGAATTAATTAATGTGAAATAACAAGGGGTGTTACGAGGCCTGTCGACTTGTACATTTTCACATATTTCATTTATTACAGAGCATTTTGTAAAAATTATTTGTTTAAGGTAATGGTTTTCTCCACAAATTATTGTAAAGGCTTTATTTGGTAACTTGCCTTTTTATTTTTTTGAATAGCAATAAGATCAGAGTTAACAAGTAATACGTATTTTGGTAGCAGTCAAGGCATGGCTGAGTAATTATTTTCATTCAGATTTTTTTCTGATTTGTGTCACGGTGGAAACCATGCAAATATTGAAGTTTTTTTTTTCAAAAACGCTATTTACATGTCTTTAAAAAGGACAATAATGACGGTCAAATTAATGTCGAAACGACTTCTGGAGTGTTGTGATTCTTGGGTTAAATTCTTACCTAACCTAACCTCATCGCTTCTCTTGTGTTGGCTAAAACTGCTAATTCTGTTGAATCTATCAAAGGTTTCAAGAACACCAAGTGGAGGAAGATGATACTTAAACAGATGAGTAAAAATGTTTTAAGAAGATGATATCGTTGTATTTTAGTGGTCATTTGAGGCCCCCTTCGTTGGTGAGATCCAATATTTTATCATCATCATGACATATTGAAGCATGTTGAGAACAACATCTGTGCTGACGCTCTGTCACTCCAAAGTTTAGATTTTGCCGACTGCCTGTTGAACAATTTAATTTGGGGCAGAATTAAACGTGGGATTTTAGCGCTTTAGTTCGCGGGAAATAGCAATTGCTTGACGTCATTGGCAGTTTTCTGGTACTAATTGCACTCTCTTGAGGCTGAAACTCACAAGCAAAAGTAAACATGATACTTCTTTAGACCAGTATGTGAATGGCTCTCATGAAAAGGCATTTTTGAACACACTTGTCAATTATATTGTGATTTTATTAAAAGCGACAAAATTCCTACTTAATGGTCCAATACGTATAGGATCGTCATAGCGGCAACGAAGCCGTTTCTATAATTATCCGGAATTACTTTGTGAGTGCTTTATAAGGTAAATAATTTGCCGCCCTAGGATTGCAGTAAAATTTTATCATCATGCTGGAAGTACAATTACGTCTGTGCAGACAGTGTGGGATGCCTCCCTTAAAGTCTTGACTGATTCACTTCCTAAATTTTACTACACCGATTAATTTGTAATAATATGTATATTGCTCGCTTAAAAGCCCAAGCTTATTTCTAACCGTAAAGTGCTGCTGTCGCCACGGATCAAGAAAGAGAGGGTGAAGGTGGGTGGAAACAGCAGAGCCTGAAGTAGTTGACCAATGGAAATCATTTGATGGGATGAGTTTCGACTTTGAAACGTGTCAGTTGAACAATAAATCTCTCAGTCATGTCACCATTCAACGTTGCTTGTTTTTTATTTTATCCTCATTAAGGCAATATGCATACAATATTAATTCTAATTTGATACGGTTTTTCCTAAAGATTATATTGCATGTCTCATTAGTCAGAAGAATTTGGAGCAGGTGTTCTAAAAGTTCTAAAAGAATAATATGTAGCGGCAAACGTCAAGTAATATATCTGGGAATGCACGTTTTCGGGAGGACGCACCGTTACGTTTGTTCATATATTAGAACCAAAGGCGCTGTATTGTTGTCATTTTTTGGCGTCTCTAAAATTCGATGTAAAGATATTTTGAAAAACTGGATATGGATAGCATGAGGAAGTTCTGTCATTCACACGTAATATTCAGGCCTGGGCCTCGAAAGCATCGTATATTGCGAATAGCGATATCACATAGAGGCTACAATATGGGGCGAGTATGGACGAGTAATGGAATCGAGACGCTTGCGCTCGGTCGCAATGCGCGATGCTTTCGAGTTACGGGGCCCTGATGCGTGCTAATGACCCCCCCCCCCCCACACACACACACAAACTGTCAAACACGATGATGCCATGAAAAACACAGACTACCGTCCGTTTCTCTCTGTATCGCTGTTGCTCTCTCCTATTACTCGAATCTATCAACTGAAACAACTAAGTCTCTCGCGAGGCGATTCCACCCAGCGCGAGGTAAAGCGTCTGAAGTGTTTTTACAGCACGTCTGTATTACTTAAACTATTTCTCCCATCGGTTTGCACGTGTCAGCACCGACAGTAAGCATAACATGGGGCCCGCAGCCACGAATAGGCAGACGATTTATGACTATGAACAAAGGGAATATATCCAAATTAATGTGACACCGACAAGGAGTTGAGGGTTATGATTGGGGAGAATTATTGTTGCAAATTTAGAGCGACCCCATGATTCTCCAACTCTGTGGAATAATTGAGGTGGAATGCTCAAAGAGAGGGCTATGTATAGGGCACTGCGGTGTTCTGCACGAAGTTAAAAGCGACTAGAAGGAAATGGTCAAAAAGACGCAGTGTTGGCTATGGCATCTACTCGTAAATCGGGCGTCAAAACAGAGTTCAACTTCGGTGAGAAGTGAACTTATCTACTCCATGGAAAGGATTTTTATACACTTTCACTGAGCTTTTCTCTGTTTTCACTGTGGTTAGTTATTCACTGACAGGTTAGCCCGCCTTAGGATGGACCGAGTTCCCATTGAGGAAGACGAGGTAAGCGTTACGGAGTGAAATAAAGGTCGCATTCATTGCGCTGTATCACATAATTATATATTTATGAACACATTGAAATATATTCAAACATAGCGTGGAGCATCGTAGCCTGGGTTTGTAGTTCAACATGACTGCTCCTAGACTAATATTACTCCAATATCAAAGGTAAAAAGTGAATAAATGCTTCCGACGCTGTATACATGTATTTAACAAGACTTCGTAGAGTATTTTCTGAGCCAACATTGGTAAAGTCCCACACAGCAATAAATATGTGATGAAGGTTTGGAGGTGCATGTAACACTTGACAGGACACATAATATGCAGGCACTCAGCGTTGTATTAATTATAATGACATGATATTAATCCCAGTAAATCTTGTAAACTTTGACATTTGCCAATATCAAGTATCACACAGCATTAAACATGTGATTAAGGTTTGGAGGTGCATATGTACATGTAACACTAGGCGGCTAACTTAAAAGATAATATGCAAGTACTCAACGTTGTATTAATTATAATGAACACATGAAAGTTTATGTTGCTGGAAGATCAGTATCACATGATATTAATCCCAACCAATTAATTGAAATTGAACCAATTAATTGAAAATTGCCTATACTCTTTCGTCATATTTTTTACCGCCTTCTCCGATCTGGATTTCTCTCCCGTCTGTACATGTCAGTGTTTACGTCTAAAACGTACGTGTAATACTTCACTTCCGATGAGCGCGTCCACGGGATATCAATATTCTTGAAGTAGTGTTTTGAAAAGAGCGGCGCCTTTTTTTCTGACGGGCTTAATTGAAATTGAAGCATTACGCACTTATATCTTAAATGTTGCAAGGTTAACTTAAGGTCTATAAACTGGGCGAGTTATGTATAAGATGAACAGACTAAACAGGCTGCTCAGGCACTATATAAAGTAACGATCTGGAAGTGCAGGTGTATTCTGCCATATTGGACTGACTGATTTATCTGATATGAAAGTAATTCTATCTAGACTGCCGCATGGCACATTAGGCTTGTTTTAATATTGTCTACTGATATAATTTCGTTAAGATGTATTATTATTTTTCTTATGGTTTTTCCACTCTCTCTCTCTCTCTCTCTCTCTCTCTCTCTCCTTCACACACACACATCCCAATATCGAATTATACACAGAAATTATCACCAGCAGTTCCTATCCCTTCAAGGCCTCTTCAACATGAAAGTATTTGCGCTATAAAATTAATGCAGGAGCAGAAATGTCTTTGAGGAGTACATCGAGTTCAGTCACCCCAACGAGACCTCTTCCTCTTTTATTTCATTGAGTATGGAAGGTTGGATGAATCAGCTCTGTTTGCTCATGGTTAACTATATTTTGCTCACCAAGAATACCTAAGATGAAGTCACGTATGACGTCCATTTAGTGGGCTAACTTCTGAATCTGCTGTAGATTTTTTCCGGTGTAATTTTGATGTGGAAGGCTGTATTCACAACCAAAGTTGATCCTTGGACTAACAGATCCGCCGATCAAATATGGCCGATCCACTTGAAAGCTTACCGCGTAATCCCCGCGTGGAAACTATTCAGTATTAATTAGGAGATTATGCAGCAAGCTTTCAAGTATTTGATCCGCGGATCTGTTAGTCCGAAGGTATTGACATCCGTACCTTGCCTGTCACCCTGAATGTTGGTGTAACTTGTAACCCACCTTCGGAACTCAGGGTACGTGGTGACCATATAAATATTGTGAATTTTGGTGGAAAGGCTTGATAAGGCATGATCTAGTATACACAGTACTCAGGATGTTGTTCAAAACGGGGTCTGTGGGTGAGCGATCATGTTATAAGTAGGAATAAGTGTTCACATTCCCTTTCAGGCCCTTAGGCTGGGGAGGGGGTGTATAAAGGGTTAGAAAAATAAGATCTTTCAGGTCCAGTTTAAACCAAAATTTGATCTAGAGTCCTTGTCATTTCTCACGTTGGGTCAACTTAAAGTTTAGAAAGCGTTCCACATTTTCAGTAAAGAGAACCTCCTTTGAAAGCGGTGGCTATTCAGACAGTGTGGGCCATTTTTCACGAAATAATCTTCATGCCAGCTTAATCTGTTTTTGTTGTCTCCAACTCTAATATATATGTAATATATGTATATCATAGAAGGGATAATGGTCCAGTGTGCCGATCCAGTCGTGATAATATATATGTGAATGTGAAGTGTTAAAATAATGTATAGCTTCAGTGCGGAAAATTAGGGGTTGGCTCACGGCCTCGGACACTTTGACCTCTGGAGGGGTTAATATCTCCATTTAGGCAATCTTAATGCCATTTTCCGGCCATGTTATTCATTTGACCAAGGAGTTATAACTCCTTGATTTGACTAACCTGAGAAGGTTTTTGTACGCGGCACTTTCGTCCATTTTGCAGAATGTCATATACACAATCTTAATTGCAGCATCAGTCGAGTCCACATTAAGGACAGTAAACGATAGCACGACGTCTAGGCCTAACAGGTTTAATACTAATGTTTTATATAAATATATCACTATTGATAAACCCCCCTCTTTTTCTATGATTACGAGTTTTTTTGTCGAGAAAAACTAGATTACAAATTACTTGTCAGGTCTTCCTATATACTGTAGTACACAAAGTGGAAGTGTGTGTGTGTGTGTGTGTGTGTGTGTGTAACTCCTTTACAGTGACATTGTACAGCATTCGGCAAGTAGGGGCTGTTTGGTCCGCTATGAGTTTTACTTTACTGCTGTATCATCGGATATTCAGTTATTCATTTTCACTTATGTAGCACTTTCATTGTTCGCAATTACATGTGCATCACTTTATGCCCATTTGTTATGTGAGGTGCAGATACAATGGCAACTTACTGAGCAAGACTAGTATGGGCATTATAAGTGGGTGATAATTCATCGTAACAATTAAGGTTTGCATCTGAATTTGACAAGCTTTGCATGTAGCTCACACATTTATCTTCATTTATTATTTCAAAAAGATTGTTATGCATCCAAAATGATGCCGAAAATTATAAGAAAATCCACCTGCAGAGTACACATGTAAAAGAAAAAAATCCGGTCTTTCGTATGTCGGACATAGTAGCCCACAGTAGAACTATACTAAGTGTGTGTGAACATAGAGGTGGTGCGAGATATAAGGGACGTCACACTCAAAACACACACACACACACACGGACACACACACACACACACACAATTTTGACTGTATTACAAGTGAAACCGTTTTTAACACGAGGTACCATATTTTAATTATCTATACTATGCAGTATTTTGCTGTAAGATCAGACTTAAAGAAACCCATAATCTGGGAAATAATCTCATAGGTTGATTGATTACTTTTCCAGGACCTTCACAATGAAATCGAGGAACTGCGTGAAGATTTGTTGCAGGCAGAGATTATCATAAAGACTCTGAGAGAAAAGTTAAGAAAACAGAAACATGGAACGCAACAACTCGTTGTCGCCTGGAAAACAAAGCTTCGAGATCTAGAACGCGAAACGAAGCAAAAAGAACAAATGCGCGAAAAACAATTACAAAATATAACGTCCAGTCTTTATTATTTGGAAGGACAGCTAAGGAAAGAGAAAAAAGAAATTGAGCTTTTATTGCAAGAAAAGGATAGGACTATCGAAAACCAAAGGCAGACGATTGAAAAATTAAAACAAGAATGCGACACGAACCAAACTGCTTTGCAATGGAAAGAAAGCCAGGGTAAATATAATAATAATGAGAGAGAGCGGGAAATATTTAGCCGACGTAAGGAAAATGATTCTCCTGCAATGAAAATTAGGCCAAGCTATGCAAGGGAAACAAGCTTGGAGAACAAAACTGAAAAGGCCAAGCTGCCGGGTTCTTCCACCAAAACACCCGTTCCTTTAAGTGGGAAAGATGTTAGCTGGCAGGCCACCGAGATGCAGCAAAAAACAGCGATGTTCCAAGCAGCCGATCACGATTATTCACATCAAAATGTACGCGGAGATACCTGGTTGGAAAAACCGTACGATGAAAGACGCCAATATGGCCATTATGACCATTATCAGGAGACATTCCACCAAAATGTGGGCGTACAAAAAGAGAATCAGTCTCCAAAAGAATCAAAATACTTGAAGGAACATCCTGCAAAAATTTCAAGAGAGAGTCCAAGATTTCAGATTCCTTCTTCTGAGAACACACGTGATCCTTCTGGCAAGAGACGGGGAGAAATTAAAGAGTGTTACACCACCAACAGAAGCAATGCCAAGCAATATGCGCGCAGCTCACAAGACATGAACTATCATTTAGCAAAAGATTATGGTCTGAACCTTGAACATCGCGATATCTCATCGCAGAGCTGCAGTTCTCCGAAGGTGCGGGTAAGCGAGAGTCCGACGTCTCCACCAAGTCCACATCCGCCCTGGGGTGCGGTGTCCGTTAATCCGGCGCCCAGTAATCCGATACCACGGAGAACGGTTTCTGGGACTTTTCCAGGGCTCGACCCACGGATGTCGCCTCTACAGGTCTACAACAGAGACGGTTCACCAAGGTGGTCTCATCAAAGTACCCAGTCTTCATCAGTCTATTACGATGACAATGATACCAGTAGCTCCTCAAATAGCAGTTACGAGAATGTGTTCTCGTCCCCTGGGGTCTATGACCCAGTGTATTCATGGAACGACCAGGACGGTGAGGAGGGAGAGAAAGAAGGAGCTGCGTGGAAGAGAAAAGCTGCGTCCTTGCCCGCGCACCCGACCGGAGCGTTAGAGAGAAAAGGGACACCTGCCCACAGAACAGCGTCTTGTTATTCACAGGGGTATGAGCAAAAATGAACTGTTCAGCATACCCGTTCTTCTATAAAATAATTAACAAGAAAATATACTGATAGAAGAAGGATCAACTGTAAATTGTCCAAAATGGTGGTTTGCATGAGAGAAATTACCACAATCTACAAACGGTGCTGTACCCATATCTTCAGGGCTACTCTCTCGTTCCGCGTTTTAGTTGATCCCAAGGAAAGGTCACCTCACCTATTCGGTAGGCCAAGGAGTTGTATGCGACTAGTTGGGTACCGGTGTAACGTGGCAGAGAGTCCCACATGAAAGAAAGTTTGCCTCCCATTCATTTGTACAGGTAGGCTTCGCTCTAGATTTTGACCCACTAAGGCCAGGCTAACCCTAACCATTATAACCAATGGAGGTAGGACTTTCTGTCACACGGACCCTCAGTTTCGTTACACCGGCTGCACTCCTACTATGTGTACGGCCTCGTTCAAGACATTATTTAAAAACACACACAATGTACGTTAGATCAATCTACAGAAAAACAATTACTGGAATTTTTTATGGTTTTCTAGAGTAAGTTTACAAAAATCTTCAGGCCATTGACAAATTCACGATTTATAACCCATTTTCTGAGTTCTCTGTGCGAAATCAAGATGGAGATTGAAGAACTTCTCTCGTGACGGTCAAAGGAAAAATTAATAGCTGAAAAACGGGTGTAAAATCGGAGTTTTGTCAACTGTTTTTGGTAGTGCACACCATGGTGTTAAAGGGAAAAAATCCAGTTTTCTTATTTGCAATGTATTGCCCATTGCCCGCCCGTATTCATTTCAGAATACTTTTAACAATGGCCATTTTAGGGTGCTTTCCCAGAGATTTAGATCGATCTAAAGATTAAGTTTTAGATCAACCTAACTCCCTGGCGGTTCACGCTAAATTGCAGTCAGCCGAGCGGGCACCATAGTTAATTACCCCCTTACAGCTTTTAGTAGGCGGGACAGACGCTTAAGCCGGCCAAGCTGACAGTAATCTAGTGAGACTCCCCACAGGGATAGAACGATCTAAAAATCAATGGAAATGGGGTGTTAGGGACCATTCTCACAGATATTTGGATCGATCTATCTCCCTGGGGAGTCTCACTAAATTGTTATCAACTTAACAGGCTTAAATGGCTTAAATGTCTGTCACGCACAGTAAAGCTATAAAGCGGTAATTATCTTTACCCCCTAGCTGATTCGGTAGGCGTGGCAGACATTTAAGCCGGTTAGTTGATAGCAATTTAGTGAGACTCCCCAGAGAGTTAGACCGATCTAGATGGATCGATCTGGGCAAGGGAATCCAGTCTTAGCTACGGTCTGATGTGGTAAGTGTTAATTGCAGAATTCATTATGCCACCCACTATATCGTTAAATTATATAGTTTTTTTTCTGGCCAAAATTCGCGCACGGTCTCTTAAAAGGTCATATAGATGACGCTGTATACCCAATCTTCTCAACTGACCCGCTCCCCCCCCACTGGAAATTTTTCTTCGCCTTGGTAAAGTTTTTTGTTGAATTATTCGTTTTGATTCTGCACCAGTTGTGCATACCGTAATCAATGGTATGAGTAATACTATTGGCATTTACTGTACTTTGAAACAACATTTAATCACCCTGTTTCATGTCGTTTCGAATTACGAAACAAGAAATTACATTTGCACGTGTGGCGAAGGGTTTGAAAAAATACAACAAAGAAAAATATATGCGTGTACAGACGCATGCCTGCATTTGCACAGGTGCACGAGTGTGGATGCACGAGGCGGAAATAAAACTGTTTTAATAAAATGCGACATAAAAGTGCAGTTAGTAAGCTCCTTAAATTGTTTAATAAAGTAAATGAAAAGTAGAAATAAATATTGGAAATGCAAGTTATGTGAAACATATGTATTTTCAAGAATCCAAAATTAGCATTGGACCCCACGAAAAGCCAATCCAATGACCATTGCTCAGGGTCAACCAAAGAAATAAGCCATGTGTAGGGTAATAAGCAGTAACTGGCTGTCATTGAACAGTTGGCCCAATACCTGTGAATTTCAATATTTCATTCATTTTTACCTGACACGAGGCAGTAAACAGCGTTTGAAAAGCCAACGGCAATAATCTGAGTATAATGATATGTAAAATATGATACGTTAAGTGACTGCAGAGCTTCTTGCCTTCATTTTATATATGAAGCCCATTGCGCTTAAATACTCGTGTACACGAGCGTTGTGCAAAATCTATGGCATATGTGGCCTTCTGAGTTGGCGTACACGGCTTAGTGTTGGCCTGATCCGAGAGATCCATGTTACCCAAGAGTAAGTATATACTTTTTATACCAAAACATTTGAAGGATCGATATACCTTTATCTGACGCTTTATCTTACGCACTCGTTATATACCTTACAAATGCAGATTGTTACAAAACTGATTAAAAGTGTCTTGGCCAATTTTCAAACAAACTACGGAGACACGGTTTTAAATAAATATATCAGAAGAAATTAGTAATTCAATAAAAATCTCGGGACTTCTCAGCGCCATTCTACAAGCCAAAAAGCGGCTTTTGACAATTTAGCAGCTACATGTGTAGTGAATACCCTGACATTTTTTTAGCAGTCTTCTAATTATATTGAATATTCTTGAGAAGGAACAGGTTAGCAGATTTTGGTTGTCTCAGATCATCCACGTTAGATATAATAGCCCTTGGTAACATTAAGGCCTCGCAATATCTTCTATGTTCGTGTAACTGTTCTGTCGGCTGTAATCAACAACAACAAAATAATATAGGTCTTGAGAATGTATATCTGTAAACTTTTAAAAAAGATTTTGATATATACTGATAGTGGACAAAATGCCCCACACTGGAACATAGTTCGACAAGAAAATGATAATTTCTTTATTTAATTTTTCCATCTTTTAAATTCCATAATATCAGTCATAAGCGAGCAAAAACAGTCGTCCACAGTAAATCCTGCTGACCACGGTGAACGTTCGACTTCCAAAACTGAGTTGCTCCTTATTGTTCTAGGTTGTTCACAGAATTCTGTTATTTGGCCATTTAACTGTTTGAAATATTGCAGCTCAACATAGAAGTCATTATTCTGTTGTGCTATTTCTTTCATTAATTTGTTATTGAAATAATTGTAAAGAGCAAAGTCTACGCTATCAGAAGTCTTATGTCTGGTAATAAGCTCGCTGTCAACGAAGCTTTCCGCATTGTACTTTCCCGTAAGTTTCCTCCTATAAACAATGTCTCTTAAATCCCAACACAGACGACGTCGAAGAAGAACTAGACTCTCGTCTGTTCTGTCCTGAATTGCTACAAAATCGTAATAGTTTGACAGGTTATTCAAAAATGCTTTTAGATCTGTTCTATTTCTCCTTAAACCTTCGTGGTATGTCCCCATTTCTTGAGACATGCTGTTTCTCCGTATCCCAACAGGAAGCTTTAAGGATTGGCTCCATTTGTCATAATTGATGAGAAATTCTTTCAGATGGTTGTCACTAGAAAATGGTAAGGTTGATTCAAGTCTCCTTTGATAAAAAAAGAACGCAGATTTAAACTTAGAAAAGGGTTCTCTAACCAGACCCATTTTAAAAACGTCTTTGGGCAGTGCTTTTTGGAAGCGCGTTTCGTTAAAACCGCAATGATGAGCCAAGATGTCGTATTTTTGGTTCGGTGCCAGATTAAAGGAAAATGGGACAACTCGGAGGTTGTTTAGGAAGGCATAGCGTAAGAAAATATTCGCAAGCGTCGTAGAACCACATTTGTGAACTTTGCGAAATAGAATGTGATTCTTTGGTGAACAGTTGAATGTGGCGTTTCTTCTTGGGAGACCGTCCCTCCATGCTTCATACGCCTCCTCGTAGCGGGCCATCCGGCTGCTATCCTTTACTCTAAAAAGTGGTGTTTTACAGAAATAACCATAAGAAAATAATCACACAATGCTCGTAATTCTGTGAACGGCTTTGGTTAACTTTGCATACCTTGGTGATGCTAAAAAATTTGATGAAAGATCTTTTATATTTGCAAAACGTATGACATTTTAATTTATCATAAATACGTACCCTCTGCGGCAGATTTTTACATCTGATCGTGCAATTTCCCTTGCGTATGGACGAACAGTTTTTTCCATTTCAAAAGGTACCACTCGTAGATTATTTGGTACTTTGAGTAGAACATATAACGTTAAAAAAATTACGGAATAGGCAAGAATTAAAGACCAAAATACAAGCCTCATACGTCTGTGCAGAGTCATTTTCCTTTTGTTATTGACACACCTAATAAAAATGCGTGTATCTTCAGCATCAGTTGCTCATAATTATCATTACTACCTGTAAACTCATCGAACCTGCGCGTATCCAGCGTGACAGCTGCTTGCAAATGTGGTCGCAAAATTATTTATATTTTGACACTTGCTGTACAGGAATTTAATTTATTCATCTGAAAAGTCAAATGTATTCAGTTTCATCTTGTTTTTCTTTGAAAAGGTCAATAAAGGCATCACCGAATTTCTTTTGAAACCGGCCGAATTACAGGGGAGGCTATTTTGAGGGGCTGTGCAATAAATCAAAAATATTTTCTGGTCATTTGTTCCTTTTTTTCAGGAACACTTTGTTCACATTAGAGGCTGACGAGAGAAGCAGAGCCGGATATTTGGTCCAAGTGTAGATCGCGGCCCATCGAAATTACAGGAGAAAAAAACACCAGTGACACCAATATCCGGTTTACAACACTGTTTCTGTATCAATATGCACGTTGCTTTATTCTCTGCTCATAACTAGAGTTGATTCAACTGTAGTCTAGTGTGCTAGTGAGGTATTGCGTTTTATCCAGCATTCAGTTGCTCATATTAGAACGTATCTTTGCAAGGTATCAAACATGCTCGACAATAGCCGGTGTAACGTAACAGAGAGTCTAAATTGAGGGCGGACCTCGTTTCGTTATACCGGTGTATCAGGAATGCAAGTCGCTAGGAACCGTAGTCCGCTTCCCATTACTTTGTACAGGTGACATTCATCCCATATACTAACCCCAATACTCCAACTAACCCTAACATGTACTAATCACACCGGAGCCCGGAATTCATTCCTGGACTTGCATTCATTCAACACCGGCACTAAATTATCATTTTCATATGCATCACTATCAAGGTATCAATTCGTTTGTCACGCTAATCTGCTGTCGTTTGTTGCAAATGATTAATTAAATATATCAATATCTCGAAACGTGACATTATTTATGCCTTGATCTGTATTTGTAACAACATGCAGCGAACGACATCTATCTTAGAATAGGAGTACTCCTTAGCACCGAAAGAGGAAGAACTGTGCCTCATAATGGGCCCGAAAACTTCATTGCCGTCAAATACATGCTTGGAAGCATGCCAGGTTTTCTGTTAAAGCGAGAGCGAGATATTGTTTTTGTGTTTGATTTCGGCAGAAAGTTCGGAAGAGATTAGCTAAAGACCTTGTTGTGAAAACTGCCGAAAACTTTCCTTATGAAAGCCGAACCAATCTAGCGTTCCTCAGAGAGGAAGTTTTGATAGATTGTCTGTTGACTGCATATCATCCTTCCAGTTACATGCCAAAATACGCGTGGAAATAGAATTTGTCTTCATTCATAAACAATTTAACTGGGAGCATTTCCAGTGCCTGACATAACAGCACTTAACATTGCAAGGCTGCAATTTGATGAAATAATATGTAGGCGTACGGTGCCCAAATCACTATTAAGTTTTAGAGGTACTAATTTCCTCTCAGATAAAGTAATGGAATTATGTACATACTGTATGAGTACGCAGGTATGTAAAAAATTCAAAGCAGTTTATATCATCCAATTACAAATGGTCAATAAGAGTAATTAAACTGTATGATCATGAAATTTTTGTCAAATTATGTCCCAGAGAATCAAAAAAGATTGGGATTCGTTTGTAAATTCAGCTTTAATTGTGAACCGAATGCTAGTTTTATGACAAGCCCATTATTTTTATACGCAAAGAGGCAAGATTATCAATTGATGTAGCCTTTCCGCCCCCTGTAAAAAACCTCCGTCAATGAACTACCACACTCAATATATGATTAAAAAATTGAGCGTTGCTAAAGAGATTGCCCACGAAAATAAAAGACGACAAAGGAGAGAATACACAACTGTACGATCGAAAATCTGAGAACGTGAAATGTCAAGTAGGCGATAGTGTATTTGTTTACAATCCAACAGTACCAAGAGGATGTACCAAACAGTTGGCACGACTTTCCCATGGTCCATTCACTTTATTAGATATGCTGACACATGTTAATGCAAAATAATCCACGTGGCAAACATACATGTATATATATAGTGAAAACATCGTACATGTAAATCGATTGAAAATGGGGTACGGCAGGAAAATTAATAAAACCCCTGGTTTGAACGGTGTAGAAGATAACGAATTACAAATTAAAGATATACTCCAAATGATAGTTTGGAGTAAAGAGCAAAGAGCAAAGAGACACAATATAAAGAAAGGGGAGAAAACGAAAACAAATATCATGTGGATTAACCTCGCACAACAGATGAATAATTTGAAATCGAGAAGGGTTTACGAGGTAGAGCCAGGAGAAACGATGAAATACCTGTACAGTACCTTAATCAGTGAAAGGAGTTCCCTCATATAGCCCAAATACCTGGGAGCCAATTGAAATACCTCAACGAAGAGACATAAGAAAACATATAATAATAATAATAATAATAATAATAATAAAACATAAGATGGACGGGAAAGAAAAGACAGAGCAAGGAGCGTAACAATAAAATAGAAAATACAAGAATTAAATTGAAGATCGAACGCAACTCGGATTACTTTACTGCACGAATACGATTGAATTTTAATCAATAAAAATTCCCTCGATCAAATTACGTTTTTCGACTTGCCAGGTATTGATAATTTGGAGGTAAAAAAGGAAACGCAAATGTTGAGTGTTACAATGCCGGAAAAAGCGAACGAATTTGCATGTGAAGTTACATATACTTTTTACTCGATAAATTGCCACATTGAAATTTTCATTTTCTGGCAATGAACTTCTTGAAATGATCTTGTATGGATTTTATACTGTTAAATTGGCGATAAAAGGTATACACGAAGTTAAGATTGGTTCAACGATTATATGAATATACTATATACGGTATTAAGATTGAGTTTAATCAACCAGGAATTATACGAGGCATTCACATTGGACAACGATGGACATACAAGAAACAGTGAACAGTTATCCATATGTGCGCCAACGTACGAGGACAGTACATTATCCATTACATACAGACAATTAAATGACAATCGCATTGATTCACTGGATGAAAGGAATCCTGTGACATTACATGCAATTGAACTCTCATTCTACATATCGAAATGGAGGATATCATCCGCTATAATAAATGGATTGCTATTCATTTTGTGTCATAATTTATGGTGCCGGGTATTAATGACATATTAAATTTGTACGTTTATAATGGCTATTCGATACGTAATACACAAACTTGACATTTAATATTTTTTACCATATTTTATTTTTACCATATTTATTTTTACCATATTATTTTTTCGATTTTTCCCTATTTTCTTACTGATGAATAAAAGCAAGGATTTAAATCGTGTTTAAATAACTTTAAACTCTATTAAATCTAATTATGACAACTGTTCTTCTACTGAATTCACCTGCTTATGCAAACATAATATGACTGATTCTTAGCCATACAACAACCATTAAAAGGGTTACTTCGATCTCCATTTTTTCCTAAATAAGTTAGTTTCAAAGATCAAAGAGTTATACGCTCCATTAAGGACGCTCATAGTGTCTGGTCACAGCAACGGTCAGTGGTGTACGTGTCTGGCCTTATCTGGCTGCTACCTGGGCTATCAAGTGGCAAGCTATTCCTTCTTGGAGTTTCATCTAGAATTACATTCCAGGCATCGGTTAGAGTTTGTCCAATTTGGGTCGCTTCTTTGGGGGACCAGTAGGCAGTTGATTGGGTGAGTAATGACTACCCACAGGTTGTCTTTATCTTCATATCTGTCGAGGTGGCCGCGGTAGCCTCTCAGATCCTTGGTTCTGCTAGTAATCTGCAAATGCAGTTGCTCTGTGTGGGCGGATACTTTTAGCCTGTAAATTAAAATTGTTCCTCTGGTGCCCATTTCCATATGGGAGGCAACTGGTTTCCAGAATATAACTGTATTAAAACGGGTACGGGTTTACTCCCACCACCGCCAATCGCTTTCGGAGCGACACACGCCTAGCCCTAGGCCTATTCGGGATGTCTCTGAACTGTAATTTGACCACCTTGGCGGTGCAGATGAAATCTTATCTCATAAGTTAGACCCAAAGGGTTATGTCTGGAAACGGTTCCAACTCATTTCAGAAATAGACGACGATTTGTGCTGTTCACAGAGGGTTCCTTAGAGGTCGTCTGGTATAGTAACCTGCTAAAACCAGTGTAGGGCCTTGAAATATACTTTCTGCCTGAAGTTGTAGCAGCGTGATGATAAGTAAAGTAGGTCCAGTTACTTGGTGGTAAGTTCTGGATACCTTGGACGTGGCCTCAGAGCATATCTCTTTAAGACTGTGCGGAGCATTCCTTGCGACACAATAACCTGTCTGGCAATGTCTATCTATTTTGCGAAAAATCAGATTTTTATTAACCGCAAACATCCAAAAGGAGGGTATTTTTAAATGATTGAAGAAGGACGGATGGTATACCTTTGTTCTACATGTATGATGCGGGAAAGAAATTACCATCATAAACAGAGGCCAGTAAAGCAGTTGACAAGGAAACATGTATTTCTCGATCGCCAAGAATATCTTCCCTCTCTTGAGAAGAACATTCCCAACATTATAATATTGGATGGTAATACGTATATTCAGAGAAATAATGAAACAGTACCACAGAGTGAAGTAAATGAATAGTAAATGGTGGATGGATGATACATGCATATCACAGTGAAGATGTTCAATCGTAACGTGACAAAAATGTTTATGATATAAGTTATACATACTAAAAATATTCTTCGACATATAAGAGTTACATTATAAGCATTTTCCTATGACGTGGGTTAATTATATCATAAACGTTCTTTGTCATGTTTAAATTGAACTCCTGCACTTTCATATATAATCCAACTCTATTCTTGCACTTCATAGACTGGCAAAACTTCATTGTTTCCTGAATGTATTGTTATCCTACATTATTTTGTTGGAAATGTTCTACTCAAAGAGAGGAAATATGTTCTTGGAGATCCAGACATTGGGTATTTCTTTGGCAACTTATTTGCTGGCCTTAGTTTATGATAGTGATTTTTTACCCCGCCTCATACATGCAGGTCAAAGATATATCGTCCACCCCTTCTTTAATAATTAAAAAATACTTGCCTTTTGGTTGTTTAAGGTAAGTATAATTCAGATTCTTCCTAGCTTATTATTGACATCCAACAGATGTTGAGAGGTCTTATCACTCCCCATTTTGACTGACTTAATCGATTGAGGTGGTTCATTATCTCCATCATCAGCTCTTCAGTCTTACCAGTACTTTAGTCTAACTTGACAGTAAACTGTAAGCTTGAATGATACCTGAACTCACTCTGAAACGTACCAGTCGCACTACTAACAAAAAATGGATTCTTCAACCCCTATAACACAAGAAAAGCCATATGGCTCACTCTACCAATAATTGCTTTCGATAATACTCTAGGTATGCCGTTTTGTGTGCCATTTGAAATTGTCAATTTGCCGAATAAATAGGAATAAATACTTGTCAGCTTCAACTTTAGCATCAAATTTTGCCTCAGAAAGCACCTGTTAATTTTTCCTCATAATTACCCTACCCTAATCATAACTTCTTACGTTATAATCGCATTTAGGAAAAAAGGAATCAAGTAAATAAATGAGTCTTGGGTTTTGTTTAAGAATTCGATATAATTGATGGTCATTTAAGGTCTCACTTAGTTCATGAAAATCTTCAAGATAAAGCTAGCAAAGACAATGATTATACACCAAGCGTATTTCTTTATTTTTCCACATTCATGTAATGTTTAAATTGTATAATATCAAGCATGAGTGAGCAAAAACAATCATCCACAGTAAATCCTGCCGACCACGGTGAAGGTTCAACTTCCAAAATTGAAGTGCCCCTTACAGGTTTAGGTCGGGCACAGAATTTTGTTATTTGTCCATTCAACTCTTTGAAATATTTTAACTCCACATAAAAGTCATTTCCCTGTTTTGCTATTTCTTTCATTAATTTGTTCTTGAAATAATTGTAAAGAGCAAAGTCTACGCTATCAGAAGTCTTATGTCTGGCAATAAGCTCGCTGTCAACGAAGCTCTCCACATTGTATTTTCCCGTAAGTTTTCTCCTATAGATAATGTCTCTTAAATCCCAACACAGGCGACGTCGAAGTAAAACGAGACCCTCGTCTGTTTTGTCCAGAATTACTACAAAATCGTAATACTTTGCCAGCTTATTCAAAAACGCTTTCAGATTTGTTTTATTGTCCCTTAAACTTTCGTGATACATCCCCATTTCTTGAGACATGCTGTTTCTTTTCATCCCAACAGGAATCTGAAAGGATTTGCTCCATTTGTCGTAATTGATAAGAAATTCTTTCATGTGGTTGTCACTAGAAAACGGTAAGGTTGATTCAAGTGTCCTTTGATAATAAAAGAACGCAGATTTAAACTTAGAAAAGGGTTCTCTAACCAGACCAATCTTAAAAACGTCCTTAGGCATCGTCTTTCTGAAATGGGTTTCGTTAAAACCGCAGTGATGAGCCATGATGTCGTATTTCTTACCAGCAGACAATTTAGAGTCAAATGGGACAACTCGGAGTTTATTCATGAAAGCATAGCGTAAGAAAATATTTGCATACGTCGTAGACCCACATTTGTGAACTTTGCGAAATAGAATGTGGTTCTTTGGCGTGCAGTTGAATGTAGCTTTTCTTCTTGGGAGTTTGGCCCTCCATGCTTTATATGCCTGCTCGTAAGTTACCAACTGGCTGCTCAACATTGATCTTAAAAGAGTTGATTTAACGTAGTTACCCATAATGATAAAGTGAGCGTTCTCCCATACCGGGGGAACAATTTAAAAAACTATATGTTTGTTATACCTACAATTTAAAGCAAAAACTGCCATGTAGCTTATTGATTTTCCAGAGACTGAGAAATGAAGAATAATTTTGAATATTTGTTGAAGACATTTTGGAACTGTATAAAATTAACCAA